AGCTTTTATTATTTTGAGATACGTTCCGTCAATACCTAATTTATTGAGGGTTTTTAGCATAAAGGGCTGTTGAATTTTGTCAAAGGCCTTCTCTGCATCAGTTGAGATAATCATGTGGTTTTTGGTTCTGTTTTTGTGGTGAATTACATTTATAGACTTGAGTATGTTGAACCAGCCTTGCATCCCCAGGATGCATCCTACTTGACCATGGTGGATAAGCTTTTTGATGTGCTGTTGCAAATTGGTTTGCCAGTATTTTATTGAAGATTTTTGCATCTGTGTTCATCATGGATATTGGCCTGAGGTTTTCTTTTCTTGCTGAGTCTCTGCTGGGTTTTGGTATCAGGATGATGTTGGTCTCATAAGATGATTTGGGAAGGATTCCATTTTAAAGGACTTCAGTAACGTACTCAGTTCTTAAAACCTGGAACGGCAGCCCCAGAAGTGTGCTGCTTCGTTAAGTGAAAACTCCAAAAGTCGTCAGCAGAAGTCCTGGGGACTGAGTATCACAGAATTCTTACTTAGTGCAGATGTGTCTACATCCTCTCTGTGACCTTGTGGAGGATATTTAAAACTCTTAGATGTAGTGCTGCCTTTTAAAATGGAATTACAATAGTGACCCTTTTCACAGTGAGGTATTGCAAAATAACTACAACTATGTGAAGTGCTTATTTTAAAAAAGCTACAAACTGGTGCTGAAATATATTTGCATGCTGTTTTAAGACTTTCCTTGACAGCAGGAGTTAATTCAGTAATTAATTCAGCAGTGGAAATTGCTGTTCTAGAGGTATCTTTAATGTACATTTTCCTCCCATATGAATAATTACCGTTGTATATCTGGTATGTTCCAAATGTACCAATTAAGAAAATTAATTTTTAGAAAAGGATTCGACATATTACTGTCTCCATGTTGGTTTTAATCAGATTACCTCTTTGTAATGGTATAATTATCGTAATATATGATGGGGCTTTAATTTCAATAGCAAAAATATGTGCCATCTGAGTTACCAGAACTTTCAGGTCATCACTCCTAGATGTGGACTTCCTCAGAGTCCTTTTTCATATGATCCATCTTGAGATGATTTTCTTTGTATGTTGAATGGCACTTACATGATATACAATCTATGTAGTATATTGTATTCACAAAGTTATAGCGAGAGTCTACAACAGAAGTATGTCACTTGGTACCTGAGATATACAGCAGAAACCTCTCTCTTTGTTAATGATAAGTGGATTATATTTGTATTTGTTTAATTTAATTTTGTATATGTCAGTGGCCAAAAAAATTGAGGAGATTATTTAAGGAATCGATTTTCTGTGACTTCTTTAACAAACACAAATTTTAAGTCAGTTACTTTACTGTTACCATACTAATATCTAAGATAATTACTATTAGTTACTATTTATGTTGTGTACCAAAATACAATTGACTTCTTCTATATCACCTCCCCATGAAATGTTACTTGTTTACACTTCCTGAAATTGGAATTTCCACATGATTAATGGAACCAAAACAGATTTCAGAAGGATACTAAAAATCATAGCGCTCATGCTCTCAGAAGGGTTTAGTTTAAGCATTTCTTTTCTGCAACCTGAGCATCTGGTATTTTCAAATTAGGCACCTTCTAAATTTGACTCATACATTATGGAAATCTGATGACACGAGGGGTGGGTAGGCTTGCTTTGATTTTATGAAATATTAATCATAGCTGTGATTAATGATTCAGCATTTCACATCTGGGTTATTCCTGTCATATTTGAGAATTAAACACTGTTAAATACAGTATATAAACTTAGTGTAGGTGGGTCACACTGATTCTCTAGTGTCCCTTAAAAATTAAGTGGAAACTTAACAATATACCAGAAGCCACCAGTGATAATCTGTGATGTTGACAGTTCTTGGCATATTTTATACCCTCAAGGATTTTTTTTTTAATGTAAATTAGTACACATCTCTTCAGGGAGTTGAAGCTATAGAATCTACTTTCCAGAGAAATGTTGTCTCTAACTAACCAAGGTAGAGTCTTAAGAGTGGTTTTATTATGCAAAAGAGAAAGAATAAATGGAAATGGTGCGCCGGTAAAATCCTTTGACTCTTGAAAGCCATACCTCACCCCCGCTATCATTCTTGACCATTACTATAGGTCAGGCACTGTGCTAAGTACGTACTTTACATATATTTTCCTATTTAAAGAAGTGTATGGAGTGGTTTAATGGGCATTATGTGATTTGATGGGTTACAATCATCAAATTGTAAGCATTTACCATAAATGAATCGAATTCACCATGTTTGAAATCTGACATGCACTTTTCATGGGTTGTTTTTTCCTCTTCCACATTTTTTCTGATTGTTTTTAATCACTTACTTGTACCATTTATCAATTATTATGGATCTCAGTACAATCTTAGGAGGAAATGGCATTATGGAAGAATAAGAAAAATAAGGACTTACAGTAAAAATTGCTCAAAAATCATTGGGAAATGATAGTTAATATAGCAGCCTAAACTTTGACTTAAAACTTAAGTACAAGACAGGTTGATTGTTGTTATTTTAGTTGCCTTAGTTACTTCAGAAAATTAAGTAAACCCTTGTAAGCAGAGGAGGGTATCTTACTACCATTGTCGGCATTCTTTTAAGTTCATATATTCTTGGCTAGTTTGAAAGATAGACCTACTCTGACTTTGGCACTCTCTGAATCTCAGGACTCTGGACCCAGCAGCTCAGAGGCTCACTGCAGTTCTCTTACCAGGGCACCCCAATGGAACCATAGTCTGCCTGTGGTCCAGCTTGCTGACAGGCTGTGCTGGGTGCATAGTGACATGCTATTTGCCTGCGTATGTCCATTTCATATACGTAGGAAGCATTCATTTTGCCGGGGGGCGGGCGGTGGTGGGGAGGATTCTTTTCAGAGCATTTGAGAATTGCTTCTAGAAACAGAAGTGCAGAGAAAATTTTCTGATATATTGTCCAGTCGGAGTCCCAAGCCAGTGTTTTAGCCTTTAAAAGTGAGTTAAAAGTACCCTAACCACAGTCAACAAGGCTTACCAATTCTAGGGAGATAAATTGTAAAATTTTGTTTCAAGTGGAGTAACAGGGATATGTATGTGGATATATACCCCTGTTATTCTATATGTGGATGGTTTGTGTTCGTTTTGCTTTAGGACAGACAGTTGTGTTTTGTTTGTTTTTCAATTGTCAGATACATTCCTCTGCTGCTACAGGTGATGGATGTGTACTTGGAATGTAGTTGTAAGGACAGTTACACTTAATAGGAATACTAGGATTAAATTAACTTCATTTGTCCCTTTGCTATTGTGTTGAACTGGATTCTCTGTAGTTCTTAGAATGTACTATTTCTAGCCAGTCGAGGTGTGGCTGCTGCTGCTGCTGCTGCTACTGCTGGTCTGGGGACTGCACTTTTAGAATTGCTGAGCTAGAGTGATGGATTTACCTTCAGTTTTGAGATACTTGTGTCCACTGGTAAAGTCTAGCTCACCACCAGTTTTGTAGCTTCTAAGTGCTGTTTCTTCTTTTTCTCTCTGCTTCTTTTTTCTTTTCTCTTCTAAACTATCCCTTCTACTATCCTTAATGAAAAACAAAGCAAAAAACACTTACATGAATCTCCCCAGCCAAAAGGAATGAACTTTTACATCCTTATTCACTGAGGAGTCCTACCCATTGAGTGTTATATGGGCTTTTCTCACATATGTCAAAAAAACTCAAAGGTTCATTCTGTCCTCCCTGCTTCCCTCCCTTTCCTCCTCCCTACCTCCCTCTTTTTTCTCCTTCCCTCCTTCCCTCCTTCCTTCCTTCCTTCCTTCCTTCTTTCCATTCCATTTCATTCCATTCCATTCCTGAAAATAGGCTGCAGAGTGAGTACCACGCTAAAATGCAAGCACTAGTAAATACCATGGTGGTGGCAAAGGGACACTTCTCCTACACTTAGAGCAAACTTTATCAGCCACATTATGAGCTAATACAGCAATCTAATGAGAGCCCACTGAGAAGTTGCCCCTGAAAACTTGAAATTATTAAGACTATTTGAGATATGAATTGACAGCTCTGTCAGTATCAAGGTGTATCTTTTGATGTTTGCTAATACTAGAAGATATCATGATTAGCAAAAAAAAAAAAAAGGTGATTTATGTCATCTCTAGCTCATTCTTTTAAAATGCCTATCTGCTCATTGGGTATTAGTATGGTAGATTATGTGTAAATTATAAATGAATAAATACAAATTGAGTATTAATCCTCAAAAAGTTAAGTTTGCTCAGGCAAAAGCTGTTGTACTATTTTGCTTGTTGTAAAATCATTACCTGGAAAATATATTTCATTGATAATGCTTATTGCTGGATTATTGCTTTTTACCAGTTTTAACAAAATGGCAAACTTCTATTTCCATTGTAATTTAACAAGTGACATGCATTCACAGATTTTGTTAGGAAGCAAATTAATAGGAAGAAATCAAATAACAAAAAATATAGTAGAAAGGTTTTTTAAAGATACAAACTATATGATAAGAACTTAAATATTATTTAAATATTAAATAAGTAGTAAATGGTATTAAATACTAAATAAATATCTGTAAATACCATATATTTTACTGGATAATTCTCTAAGTCTAAAGTGCACATTGCCATGTAAATTATGATTTTTCCTAAGGAAAAGGAAAATTGTTTAAGGTGGTTTTTTTTTTTTAAACCAACCTCACTGTAGTAGAGTTGTAAAATTTTTATAGGGTTATTTTAAAATCAGCTAAAGTAAAGTGTGCTATGATGTATGACACTAAATTCTCATAGGAAATTACTCTATCATCTTTTAGTTTAAATGAGGAATAGTGTTATGAAAAGCATTTTCAGTTTTATTTACTCTGCAGCTAGATTCTCTCAGGAGGACACCTTAGAGACTACTTACAGGACAAAACTGTAAAGTATATCAGAAGTTATAATGCACCATTGCTCTTATTTTTAGCATGTACTGTGTATTTTATTTGGCACAGGATATATATGGAATGTTACTTCAATTTAGAAAAACGTCAAAACCAGTTGCAAGCCAAAGGTCTGCTTCCACAAGAAACTAAAACCAGGTAAGTTTTGTTCTTGCACTAAAATCTTTGTACAATTTGAACTGAAAACATGCCACTCATTGGTATATTTTTAGACATACCTGAAACCTAAACTTTGTTCCATATTTCAGCATTAAGCATTAAGGTTCGGGTTCAAGATAATAGGTGGTTTTTGTTTAGGAGGAAACACCTATTGAAGTTATTTTTATGTTATTTTCTTCCAGATTTGTATATTATGTGATATTTAATTACTATACTTGGATATGATGTCCTCAGAATTTTTATGTGTATAGCTGCCCGTTTATTTACCATTTGCATCCTTTTTTATATTTTACTTTTATTTTGGGGTATGCTTCCATTTGGCAAACAGCAGTAGATCAGATCCATCAAACTGATCACCCAGTGTTAAATTTTGCCCTAATTATTCAAGATATCTTCCATAAAGGAAGAACACCTTGGTTAAGTTAAATGCACTGCTGTCCCTTTAGTTGGACTTGACACTACTTTAGTCTATTGACAGGTTAACATTATGTCCATAACATCATCTTTGAAGTAAGTTATACAGATAAAATTTTAATCTTTAAGAAATCTGGTAGCTTTTAATACCAAATGAGTTCCATAGCGGCATATTTAATTCTTAAAACATTTACTAGAGTAGATACCTTTTCTAAAGTAGATTGAGGAAATAGAATGTTTGTCAAAAATAGCTTAGTTGGGTAAAATTACTGGTACATCATATAAAAACTTATTTTCAAATCATAAAATTGCTACTATATGTGGGATCTTTTGTGATGTAACTCTAATCGCATGGCTAATTAAAAAGAGAATATATGTGATATTTTAACAGAGACCTGATTGGCAGCAGATGGCTGATTAAGGAGGAACTAGAAGAAATGTTAGTGGAAAAACTGTCAGATCAAGATGTGAGTAATTAATCTTTTTAATTTAAGGGGACCTGTGCCATAAGAATGCAGACAATTGCTGTATTTAGATCCTAATAGTAATGTTCCTCAGAGGCAGGTGTTCCTAAGATGATTTTTCTTTCTTTCTTTTTTGTTTTTTTAAACAAAGAAACCACATTCATCATTGATTTCTGCATTGGGAGGACCTTGTCTGTGGTCAGGGAGGTGACTTGTCGAGTCTCCGGGTCCTCCTCTTATAAATGCCCTCACGTACTCTGCCAGTTGTTTTAGGGAAGCACAGCAGATGTCGTCGTTTCATCTTCCATAAGGCCAGTAGCTAATTTTACAAGCTGATGATAAGTGTAAGGAGTCATTATAGGTTAAGTAGAAAAGGGATGCAGCACATGGTTACCTTCATGCAATTTGCTGCTTACCTTGTGTGCCGTATCTGTAAGGTCAGTGGTTTTTATCTTGGGATCTGCAAACCACCTGTATCGGAATCCCTTGAAATACTGTTACAAACTACAGTGTCCTAAGCCTCACCCAGACCTAGTACAAAATCTCTGGGGTCACCCAGGAGTCTTTTTAACAAACTTTCCAGATGAATCTTACACCTTATAAAGTTTGTGACCCCCCCTGCTTTAGGTCTTAATTGCATTCTTATTTTGTTAAATGTCCTATCAACATTACCATAGGACATTTGATGTCTTAAATATTTTGATGCTTCAAATTTGTTACTTTCTGGAAGATTGGAGTGTAGATAAATTCCACAAATTTTTTTCCAAGATGGAATTTTTCTTTGATGGTGGTGGCTAACATTGCTCATACTTTGCCACCATATATAGATTTTAAGATATGTACTTGAATTGTTCTTTTTCTCATTTAAGGTATTACCGAAATTAATGATTTGGAAAAGTTGCAGTTTGCTTAAACAAAGTGTTGGACATTTGGTTAGTGGTAGATCCAGAGTTAATTTCTAATCTCTTAACTGCCAAGTACTGCTGTACTTGAATCTAATTGAAAAATCTCTTTGCTTCTTCACTGAAAAGTAATTTCATTATTTCCTCTGTTTTCTGGCTGCTTTGCTTTTTTAAATAATAACTCAGGTATTTTTTCTGCTTTGTAGTAGCTCAAGGACTTTAATACAGGTGTACAGCTTTGAAGACAAAAGAAACAAGTTATATACGATACTCTATTCTTTGGGTACTGGATATCAGAATAAATCCCAGTGTTTATGGCTGGTCTCAAGATGAGGGAGGTGGAGGTGGTCAGTGACTTCTTAACCCAGTTCAGAAGCAAGGATGAGTTCCACCCGTAGTGCCCCTTCGTAGATGCAAAAGTCATCATTGAGAGTGTGTGAGATGGATTTGAGAGAGTAGCCAAGCACAGAACGCCCAGGCCAGTGACTGGAGAGGAGCGTGGAGCTCTTGTCAACCCAGTATCATACGTAGCTAAGTGTTTCACCTTTACTAAAAGAGTGCCCTCTCTTTCATTACATCATAGGAAGCTATAGTTGAAGTAGTACTTTTAATATTAATCTACTGGTGAGATTTTTAAACATTTCAAACTAACTAATGGCAGATTTTTACAATGAAGGCAATGGTGACAAAGATGAGTATGATGTTTAAGGCTGACAAAAAACATAAGGTTATCAAAAGCTGAGTTTCACAATCCATATTAACTAAGACTCTCAAGCATTAGTTGTTTCCTTCTCCAAAAACACTTTAGAGTGATTATTCTGGCTTCTAATTTTAAGGGGTTAATTCCAAGTTGTTTACTTTCTAATCACATGTTCAAGAACTATTAAAAAAAAAATGCACAGAGGAGCAAGGATAATTTATTTCAAGAGGTTGCCCTTTAAGTCAAGTATCTCTTGAATTTTTAAATAGCTTGATTGTTCGGTTTTAAAGGAAATCATAAACATTAAAGTAACACAGCTTGAACAGCCAAAGATATATTTGCCAAATGTATTATGAAATATAATTCAAGAGGTACATTTTCTCAAAATCAAACTCCATTTTACTATACATAACTTACTTGAAATTATTTATAAAGCTCCTCTTGATACCGTTCTAATAAAAGAGTGGAAATTACACTTGAGGATCATCTAAACACTTTTTGAAAGTGAATTTAAATCTCAATTTCATAATCATAATACAGAGAAATTGATTTTTCTTTGAGTGATAAATCTCTTTGTTTCTTGAAAGAAAAGATTTGGTACTAAAGATAGGAAGGAAAAGTGATGCATCTGCATGCTGTTTTAAAAGCAGCATGAAGATGCAGAAGTGTCATCCTGTCAAAATTCATCAGGAATAGCAACATTGGAAAGATCAAGTATGCAAAAATAGAAAAAATTTAGCAAATGCAATTACACTTGCACCTTCTAATGAATTTTTATTGTCTGCAGTATATGCAGTTCATTCAACTGCTAGAAAAGTTATTGACATTGCACTATGGTGCTGCTGAGGAAGAATTTGTGCAGAGGTTTCGAAGAAGTGTAATCATTCAGTCAAAAAAACAGCTGATTGAACCTGTGCAGTATGACGAGCAAGGAATGGCCTTTAGCAAAAGCGAAGGTAATGACATTCTGCAGAGAGAAAATAAATTCAGCGAAGATTGAAAAACTGCAATTATTTTCATTTGTTATTGCTCTCTGGTATCCGTTAGATTTCTCATTTGTTTATTTATGTTTGCTACTGCTACATTGGATTTCCTAACTTTTAAGATTCTATTGAAGTTTTTCAAAACTGAACTTTATAATGTCCCAAGAAAAAAATGTGAATGCATACCTATACAGTCATATTAACACTTTTTATTTTCACGCATTTTTATTTTCACATTTTAAGCTGCTAGAATCAGTAAAATATTTATAATAAAGTTTCCTTTTCAAAAAATGAAAATGCTCAGTGAATCTGCATATCAAATGCCAAAACTATGTAATGTGAAAACTTCACATCCTTAACTCACATTTTCCTTGTATATGTACAGAGCCATTAGATGTCCGACTTTTAAGACTTGACCTATTAAAATATTTACAGCTCTTAAAAGATTTCACATCATTGTCATTTTTAACTACTTTGGTATTTTCGAAGAAATGTGACCTTTTCTGAGTATTTTTTTATTTCTACTAGTTCTATTTTATCATACTATTTATATATTTCTAAATATTATGTTGTTAGATATATTCTTATTGTTTATAAGAATGCTATGTAAATTGGTTGTGGATTCTCTTAAGTAAGGTAAATGAATATAAATTACTTTGTTGGTTGTTCAAACTAATTTAAAATCATTGCAATGTTTCTAAAGTGGAATTGAAGAACAAAATTACCCCACAGCGAGCTTTATTGCATCTGTTGTGTAGTGTAGCTTACCTGCTTTATTTTTGTTTGACTCGAAATGATAGTTATAGGATGCACTTATATACAGTGTTGTATATTTTGGGGAAACAAATTTTAATGTAGTTTTACCTGTCTCAAAGCGCAGCAAATTCCTATATTTACTAATAGGAATTTTATATTTTTTGAAGGTAGAAGAAAGACTGCAAAAGCAGAAGCAATTGTTTACGAACATGGAAGTGGAAAAATAAAAGTAAATGGAATTGATTACCTGCATTACTTCCCAGTCATGCAGGACAGGTTCGCTTTTGGTTTTGATTTTTTGTTTTTAAAGGAAACATGCTTTGTAATACTTCATGATCATTTTAGAAGACTTGTGATTTTCCAATTCTATTTATCTGAGTGATTATTTTTTTTTACCTATGTAAAATATCGTACTAGCTAATTGAAGCTATTTTTTAATGTAGCTTCCAAATTTTTAAAAAAGCATCTCTAGAATTCCTCATTAATTGACTTTTCTTCCCCTTTTCATCAGAACCTACTGCGGTTTGAGTAGTCTTAGGTGTGTAGCTTTTTCTGAAGTGCAGACTGTGCCAAAATGTAGGAAAAGTAGGTTACTTTTAGTTTGGGGATGGACGTGCACAAAACAAAACCACCACCACAAAAAATAGACGTGGCACTTAAAACCGACCTAAGCCACTGGGCGAGGAAAAGTGCAAGCAGTTTCTTGTGGCTTGTGTTTGTTTTCCTGATCGTAAATATTAGAAAAATTCTGCTTTATCATTTTGGATTTTTTTCCTATTCAGAGGAATGTGATTATATGTATTTATTGAGCAAGCAAAGAAACCTGGCATTTACAGGTTAAAATAAGAACTCATCAGGCTTTGCTTAGTTCCCGGTGCTAAATATGGCTATTTTATTTTTTAGACTTTATATCCTATGGAGAAATATGCATTAATCATAAATAGATACTACAGTTCTTCTAATCTAAATATACTCATCTTAGAATGCTCTCTGACTTTCTATATAAGGACTCTTCTCGATGTAGTTATTATTTTCCCTGTAGTTACTGTCATGATCCACGAGTAACAGAAGTTTGGAATGAGTAGTTCCCCCTTTCCTAATCCTTCTCCTGTTTCCTGAATGTGTTATGGATTTAAGGTCAAAAGGGCTAAAGCTCTTTTGATACCAATGCTGATGTTGACATAAGAGGACCCTCCTAATACAGTGTAAGCTTCTGGACACAATAATTACTTTAGGAAATATATGTTTATTTTATTTGTGTGTGCCTGTGTCAACAAGCAGTGCATTCTTAACTCTATTTAAGATGAATTAATTCTGCTATTATCCTCACAGGGCAGGGGATGGAAGAAGCTTTTTTTTCCCTTAGGAAAAGGTGGAGAGAAACCCATACCCCAGGGATTGATAACTTCAGCATTGGGAACTACAGGAGGAATGGCATTTAGCCAATAACCTGCCTGTTGATTTGTATTCAGACATCACTGCTGATGATTTAACAGCAAGTCTCAATTATGGCTTGTCTCATAATGAAATTGCATCCTTAGATCTTATTCTTTGATTTGAATTTAGCAGCCATTTACTAAGGATCATCTTTGTGTCCCCGGTCTTGTTCCAGGCATTGTGAAGATATCAGAGATATCTAAGATATGATTCCTATTGGCAAGAAACTTCATACATAGTTGGGAAGCCTAAGGCTAGTCTTGGTGGGAATGGGCACCCAGACTCCTCCTTATTTTTACGTAGTTGTAGGGATTTAGGGTAGCTGTGTCAGAAACTTACAAACCAGCAGTGAGAGGACCATTGACCCATAGGAAGACGAATGAACACAGAATCAGGCATCTTGATTGGACTTCTCTCATCACCTAACACATGGTTAAGTGGGTTAGCCATGTACGCTAAGTTATAAGGGAGGTTTCTGGACAGCCATTTGTCTGGGAGCTTAAACACTTACCTGGCTTAATTTTTAAAATTTTGTGATTCTTTAACAAATGCTTATATAAATAAAGAGACTTCAATTAAAATCTAGAGAAATAGACTTCATAATGTAATTACTAGATATATATCTGAGTCATGGAGCCAAATGGTCAAGGTAAATGCAATAGTGGGATTAGATTTTCAGTTTTTTAAAGACACAAGGTCTGTTTTTGTCACCCAGGCTGGACTCAGACTCCTGGGCTCAAGCAGTCCTTCCACCTCAGCCTCCTGAGTAGCTTGGACTGCAGGCAGCCAACTTAAACTTTATTTAGTTATGATAGTATATTAATAGCTACTACTTATAATACTGTTTTTATAACTTATGGCTACTTTTTATTTGGTTACTTGGGAGCATTTGTTCAAAAAGACAGTATAGGTTTATGGGTTTTTTGTTGTAGGAGTTATGTCATCCCTACATAGTATTGTTATAAATTCTGATTTGCTATGGCTTTCGAAAGTCATCTTTGCCCATCTGCATGTGATTATTTGACTAGTGTGGTACGAAGAATAGCGTGTGAACATCCTGTCTATACCCGTCTCTCAGCTTAACTGTGTTATATAAACTTTATTTTGGGTCTGGAAGCTACAGTGTCAAAGAAAGTAAATGCAATATAAGGGCTTTTCTGAATAAAAGTGTAGCAAGATATTAAGACAAAATAGCAAAATCAAATGCTTGACAAAGGTGACGGTGAACATCATACCTGGCATGAAAATGATACTCAACAAATACTTGTTCAATTGAACAAGAGAAAGTCCAGGGCCATGTTCTGTCTGTGGTACCTGCCCCAGGACCTTGTAGGCCCTGAATGACCCTGAGAGAGCAGGCCTGAAGGGGGTTGTGTAAAATGTCACCTGGCCTCAGGAAGGCAGGAGGACCCTATGATTTAGAGTACTATAATAAGAATATTGGAAATATGTGTTTGGGGTTGGGGAAGAGCAAAATCGAATATAGTTTTAGAAACTTTAAAAACTAACCACATCAGAATGAGCATTATATATTATACAGATACATTTATAGTATACTTTAGTGAATCCAAATGACATTTGATAATTGTTTGGGAAAGCATATTGATTTTATATCTGATCATTCAATCCAGAGATGTTAATTCAGTTGAATAATGGAGTTCCCCAACTGTAAGACTATTGCAAGGTTCCTGTGAGTAGAGGGGATCAGCAAACAGTAAGATAGAATGTATTGCTATACCCAAGACAAAGAAATAAACCTTACAGTTCTCAGCAAATCGTTCAAAACGTCAGAAATGTTAGTTTCTATATCTTGGTAAAATGGATTGATTGAGAAGTATGAAAAGTGTAACAGTGGCATGCAGAATGCTGTTTTTATAAATATTCAGAATTTCAATTGTTTACCTAATTATTTATAGTAAACGTAACCACATTTACTTGTACTGTGCTTTAGAGAACAGCTGATGTTCCCTTTCCACTTTGTTGACCGGCTTGGGAAACACGATGTGACCTGCACAGTCTCAGGGGGCGGGAGGTCGGCGCAGGCTGGAGCAGTACGATTGGCAATGGCAAAAGCCTTGTGCAGCTTTCTCACTGAGGACGAGGTCGAGTGGATGAGACAAGGTATGAGTCTAGGTGGGATGGGCGTGGTAGCCCAATAATGGCTACAGATGTTCATCTGCTTCTTGTACTAGTGCCTGAAGTTAGTGAGAAAATACATAGTTACATATGTAACATTTCACTCTGCTGTCTTCTTTCTTGCTACAGAGCCGTAACAGTATTTTCAGGTGTGATTTCTACAAGGTGAGCTTGAATCAGAAAAAGGGGAGCACTCCCTGCACTGATGATTTGAGCCCTGCTCACATGTTCAGTTCCAAGGTCAGGGAAGAGTTCATTTCGCCCTTCATGCATTACCTTTTGCCCAGCTTAACAAAGTGCTTAGCTTAGTTATATTTAAGAGACAAATTACTTGTTTTTGTTTTATCATAGAAATGTGTGGGGTTTTTGTTTCTGTAATCAATCTCTCGCTGTCACCGAGGATAGAGTACAGTGGTATGATCGTAGGTCACTGCAGCCTCAAACTTCCGGGCTTGAGCAGCCCTCCTGGCATAGCCTCCCAGGTAGCTAGGACTATGACGTGCAGTACCACACCCGAATAAATTTTTATATATTTTGAGAGACTGCGTTTTGCTATGTTGCCCAGGCTGTTCTCAAACTCCTGGCCTCAAGCAATTATGCCTTGGCCTCCCAAAGCACTGAGATTACATAATATGACCTACCACACCTGGCCTACCATAGCAATTTGTAGTAATTGTTTGGTTCATGATAAAGTTCTTTGGGTATTTTGTTTTTGTAAGTTATTGGAGGTTTCCATTTTTTCCCATTGTGGTGTCTGGATTTTCTTTTACCCTGTTTTGTGTAACCCTGTTACCTGAACATGAATACAAGAGTCCCTGTGTAGTCTGAAAAGATGTACAGTTGATTTTTTCATTAGGGTACTGCTTTAGCGGTTATAATAAATCAAGTTTGAGCTGAAGACTGTCTTCGCGCTATTTATGAAAAGAGGAGAGCACCGTATATGCTGTCAGCCAGCTGCGTGGTCCTGGGCAAGTCACGTAGCACCTAAGTCCATAAGTTCCTCCTCTGGGCAAGTAGGATGGTCTCTGTGCCCCAGACCTTCTAGTACAAGCCACTGGGGTTCAATGGAAACATTACCTATGGCTTAGGCCCAGGTGTCCCCAAACTGCGGCCCCCTGAGGCCATTTATCCAGCCCCTGCCGCACTTCAGGAAGGGGCACCTCTTTCATTGGTAGTCAGTGGGAGGAGCACAGTATGTGGCAGCCCTCCAACGGTCTGAGGGACAGTGAACTGGCCCCTTGTGTAAAAAGTTTGGGGACACCTGGCTTAGGCCACTTAATTGCCTCAGCCTCTTAAAAAATCCTTTTGCTTATAAGCAATTTATCATTATATAGGATTCATATCTAGTCATTGAAATAATTTGCTAGGACCTTAACAATTCCATTAGTTTGAGCTACTGCACGTATCTGAAAATAATAAAACATTATTACTTATAATTTAAGCTATAACTTAGGTCTTGTCTGTATTTTGTCAAATACTGCTGTTTTATTCCATGCATGTCCTTTAAGTACAAGCAAGTTTAAAAGCTTACAGGGGTATAATAATAAGCAATTGAAGTTTTCCTATATGTACATTAAATGATCCTTAACAAAATACCTAAGGCTTATATACAATAAGCAGAGTGCCAACGTTGGAAGAGTGAAAAAGACCAGGAAAATGGATGGTCCGTTTACATATTTATTAAAGCAGTGTAAGAGCTTTCCCGTCAGTGGTATTCTTGGAATCTGTGGTCTTTACTAACTTACTCTAGCGCCAGCCACAGCTGGGGCTCTTCCTTGCGGGCCATAGCTAAGAGTAACCCAGCAGTTGCCTAGAAACATAATCGCTCCTGATGATTGGGAGAATGAAAGTTTCCTGTTTAAACTGACTTTATTCTTCCAGAAGAAACTGCCTGTGCTAAGAATATAACTCTAAACTTATATTTTAGATTCTAAAACAAAAAAGCAAGGGATAGCATTATGACATAACATGATAAAAGTTTCCTTTTTTAAATGTTTGACAAGCCATATTTGTATGTATATGCATATTCATGTAAACCGTTAATAGATGGTATGTAAGTACCTTCTCATACTTCACCTTTACAGTAAGTTTTTCTTCTCTCCCTCTTGGCTCCATTAAAACTGTGGCCTCTGTAATAGTTAAGTGTGCAGCTTAAGTTCCCTTGCAGTGAATAGTGACTGCCCACACTAGAGCAGCTTTATCTTAGGTTGAGCAAGCTTAAAAACCAAAAGGGAGTTCTATTCTTATAAGATAAAGAAAGCAGGTTTAAATAACGCAATTGGTGTTTGCCTCAGAAGTTGGAAAAATATCCTCAAAGAGTGAAAGCCGTCCTGAGAGTGACACTGGGTTGGTAAATTATTATTGGTCTGGTTCCTTTCATCTGATTTTTTCCTCAGCCAACAGTACCTATAAATTCATGCCGTTCGCCTGCTTTTCTTCTTGGCAACATGCATATTAATGGTTCCTAAAGACCTCTTTTTATGCTGCAGCTGGACTGCTTACTACTGACCCACGTGTGAGAGAACGGAAGAAGCCCGGCCAAGAGGGAGCCCGCAGAAAGTTTACCTGGAAGAAGCGCTAAGGGTTTGTTCCCAGGAAAGAAGAGCTGTATAGACGTGCCGACACATAGCAAACACGCAGTGAATAATGGCTGACCAGCACGAGGGCAGTACTGTCAGAAATGTCTTTGAGTTGTGAGATGGATTTATTTTTAAATGCTACTTTGTAAAGGTGACCTTTACAAAATAAAAGGAAAAAAAACAAATCTTAGTCTCACTCTGCCACTTTATTGTTTTGTTTTTTTTGTTTTGTTTTGTTTTGTTTTCAGAAGATTAAGAAGCATAATTCATAGAATCTGGCATGTTAGACCTGAAAGAAACATTTAGCAAAATATAGTCGAGTTACCTCATTTTGCAGATGAGAAGGCTAAGCCCCCAAAATTCAGCAACCAGCCAGAGCCAGACTGTTCACACTCTTAATGCTGGAGCTAGACTAGAACTCATTTCTCCAGATTCTGTTGTTTCTCCGCTTAACAACTGTCAACCACATAGTTTTCAGAATGCGAGGTGAGACTGCTTACTCAGAAGAATGAAGTAGCTTGCGTCCGTCAGGAGCTCAGCAGAGCCAGGGAGCTGAGCTGTCAGGTGTAGGAGGCACTGGTGCAGACAACAGCCAAGTGAAAGGCACGGTCAAGCTGTCCGTGCTCACTCACTGCAGGAATACGAGCAAGGCTGCAGCAGAGAAGGCACCTCTGCCCCCTAGTTTGTATCAGTTTTGTTTTGGGGGTATTTACACTTCTTATTGTGTATATTTAAGGTATACAGCAGGATGTTTTGATACACATATAGAGGGTGAAGTGATTACTGCAGTCAAGTGAATTTACGTAGCCCTCATAGAGTTTACTGTGTGTGGGTGTGTGGAAAGAGCACCTAAGGTCTCTTCTCATTTCTAGCATACAGTACAGTATGATTCACTGTCATCCTCATGCTGTATGTTAGGTCTCTAGACTTACTCGTCCTGTGTAACTGCAGCTTCGTACCTTTTGACCTGCATCTCGCCTTCCTCCACCGCCTACCTGTGGTAACTACAGTTCTACCCTGTGCTTTTATATATTTGACTTTTTAAGACCTCACAGCTAAGTGAGATCTTGCAGTACTTGTCTTTCTGTTCCTGGCTTATTTTATAGTGTCCTCTAGGTTCATCCATGTTGTGGCAAATGGCAGGATCTCCTTTTTCAAGGTTGAATCGTATTCCATTGTGTATATATATGCCACAGTTTAGTTGTGGATTCCCTTTTGGATCACACAGATGTGGAGAAAATTGGCTTCAAGCTCCCCTTCAGCAGGAGGTCTCAGGTGTGGTGCCTGAGGGAGGACTTGGCTGAAGGAAACAGATGCCTCTGAATGAAGGCACCCAGCCAGGAGTGCACATAGCTCTGGAAGAGCATGGGTTGCGGTGGGGTGGACCGGCTCCTTGACTGCAGCTCCCAGAGCCTTGTCATGCACTGGCTGTGCACAAGTCAGGTGTGGGAGGGCAGCTTGCCCCCGTGAGGCCCACCAGGCAGTCTTTATGATTGGCCACGGTTTGGCGTAAAGATCACACACAGGTGTTTGGCCAGGAGCTGGACGACTCAGTCATAGCTAAGCATTCAGTTGAGTTTTGCTCTAGGATTCCTAAAGTACCTTAAAATGAAGACGTGTTGGCATTTTAACTCTAATGCAATTGTGCAGTAGGTTTTTGAAGGAGGAAAGGGGCAATTGGGGCCACAGGTACTTTAAAATCCATTTCAGGCCAGATGTGGTGGCTCATGCCTGTAATCCCAGCCCTTTGGGAGGCTGAGGCAGGTGGATCACGAGGCCAGGAGTTTGAGACCAGCCTGGCTAACATGGGGAAATTCCATATCTACTTAAAAAAAAAAAAAAAAAAAAAAAATTAGCCAGACATGGTAGCATGCATCAATAGTCCCAGCTACTTGGGAGGCTGAGGTGGGAGAATCACTGAAACCCTGGAGGCAGGGGCAGTAAGCTGAGATTGCACCACTGCACTCCAGCCTGGGTAACAGACTCAGACCCTATCTCATAAAAAAATCCATTTCAGTGCAGTTGTTTAAAGTAATAAAAAGATTGCTTCAAGAATTAGACCCTCAATGCTCAATTGTCCTTTAAAAGAGTTGAATGCCACTGATTTCTTCACAAATGTCTATTTTTAAATCTTGAATAAGTTCTGAGCTGTGTATATATATATCAGATCCTTTATGTGGTAAAATAACATGATGATGAACAAGTGAGAGTGAGCCCCAAACATCCTGTAGTACCCAGTGCCCTTTTCATCTCAGATGAAACTGTAGAAAATACTTTCTGGGGTTCTTTCTGCATGGCAGTCATTCTCTAGTGAAATCGTCTGTGGCAGGTTTTGGTTGGTGGCGTTGATTTAGCCTGTATCTATTGGAGCATACTTTTTACCACTTTGACAAGAGAGAAGTGACAGGTGGTTCCCCCACGTGGTGTGGGTGTGCTGAGATGGGATGGTGGGTGGTTCTGTCAGCACCCATCGCCTGCTTGCTTATCTCTTGCCATACCTGGTATCCTCCGGGGCAACGCAGAGCTCCCTGGAATATATGCCATCTGGCCCCGCATCAGCTACTTTTGGTGTCATGGAGGAGACAAGTCTAATGGGAGACCTGGAGTGCTGCTCCTCAAATGCCAGGAGGAGAGCTGAGGAAGGGGCCTTGAGGATGGTAGCACTCTGACGAGGAGGTGGTGGAGGAAAAAGAGGCCATGGGAAGAGAGGGTGGGAGTACAGATGGAGGAAATGGTGAGAAAGGAAGAAGAAAAGTTCAGGAAGTGTGCAGGGAGTGAAGCCAGGAGGGCCAGAGCATCGCTGGGGAGCAAGGAGGTCCCTTTGGAAACCAGCTGGGAAGGAGGCTGAGGTGGGTTTGTGGAGGGCCTGAAATTCACGGCAATGTTCCTGCACTGCCAAAGGGGAATCACTTCGCCTTTTTTTCTCCTTTGAGAGAACAGTTGACGATTGAAATTACAACTATGTTTTTAAGCCATATTTTAGCAATCTTTTAAATATATATATACATATATATATATATATATATATTAGAATCATAGTACATAATGTAACAAGAAAATCGGAGCTGTAAGTCCCACCGGCTTCTAGGTCTCAGGAACCCTGAGCTCCAGGGAAAAGTGTTTGAGGATCTCTCCATCAGGAAGGTAACTGAGCAATTGCAGGAGCAGGGAGTGACTAGAAGGAGGAGACCTGCCAGGTGGCTGTTGTAAACGGAGGGAATGGGACCCAGCACAGGGAACAGAAAGGAGGTATGTGTGAGAAATGTGGCCAAGCTCACCTGGATTGCGTATGATAGCTGATTGGCTGTAGGAGAGCTGGAGCAGGTATTAGGTATGAGATCCACAGGCTGCTGGGAACGCAAAGAGCCAGGAAGACTAGAAGAAAAGTTGGTAGAAGGAGGCAGAGACACCAGAGGGGTTGGCTTGGGTTTCCTTGAGTTTCAGGTGTTTGGAGCCACCTCAGATGAGATGCTTGAAACACAGTTGGCAAAGAGAGCTGTGACTCAGGCAACGGGTCAGCCTGCTGACAGATGTGGGAGGCTGCTGCATGGAAGGGGATTTGAAACATGGGCTGGGTCTGCACAGAAGATTGGGCAGGGAGAAGGCCAAGGCTCTATTGGAGAAACAGCCATCCAATTTTAAGTCAGAAGGAGGGAAGAGCCAGCAAAGCACAGATGGGTGGTGACATGAAGACAGCAAGCCAGGTACAGTGGGCAGGGACATTGGGGATGACCAACAAGCGGCCTCCAGGATAGGAGGACATTACAGGTGCCTTTCCCATGGCGTCTGGAGGAAACATGGGCTTGTAACCTTGCAGGTCACTGTACCCCCTGAGTCTCAATTCCTTTTTTTCTGGGACGGAGTCTTGTACTGTCGCCCAGGCTGGAGTACAATGGTGTCATCTCAGCTCACTGCAACCACAACCTCCCTGTCCCAGGCTCATGTGATTCTCCTGCCTCAGCCTCTCAAGTAGCTGGGATTATGGGTGCACACCACCATACCCAGCTTTTGTGTGTGTGTGTGTGTGTGTGTGTGTGTGTTTTTGGTAGAGATGGGGTTTCACTATGTTAAACTGCTGACCTGGTGATCCACCTGCCTCAGCCTCCCAAAGTGCTAGGGTTACAGGCCTGAGCCACTGCACCCAGCCGTGAGTCCCAATTTCTTTTGAGTCAAATTGGGGTCATTTTCTGCCCTACCAGCCCCAACTGCCCTTGTATGTTGGTTAAGTAAGATAAGTGTAAAAGCACTGGCCATCTGCTCCGTTCCAGCTATAACAGGAGCTAGACTGTGGACAGTGTTGATGTGAGGCCACCAGGGAAGAGGATTAAAGTATGTCGGAGCTCTTGTTCCTTTGTTCAGGCTTGACACTGGCTCCTTTGTCACCAAGTCGTTACCACAGGAGCACTTAACTTCTCAGACATCCCAGCTACCTTTGTGGGAAATACCTGTTGGGAAGTATTTTTGACACAAGTGTGTGCATACATTGGGAAGGGCTCTCTAGGGACTATTTTTTTAAATAGCATTTGACAAGATTATTGCCTTAAGGTGACAGTGAGAGCTAATGCTTCTATAGCTCCTATTCTGTTCCAGGATACTGTTCTAAATACAAGTAACACATTTGATCCTCTCAGCCAACCCCATGAGGTAGATACTGAGAAAATTAGCACTCAAAGAGGTTTAATAACTTGCCCAAAGTCGTAGAGCTAGTGAGTGCCCAAGCCAGGTTGGAACCCAGAATCCCAGCTCCGGAGCCAGTGCTCTGAACCACTGTGGAAGAATACCAGGCCGGCTATCAGCATGCAAGCCAGGCAAACAGCCTGTGCTAAGACCGTCTGCGAAAGGAGAGCATACTGCATTTGTCCAGTCAGAAGACTTGATGGGAGAGGTGGATGTCAGCCAGATCCTAATGGATGGGTATAAATTAGTTAGCATTTATACTGTGCTCTCCAACCAAGCTAGAACTCCATCTCCTTCGGGGTGGCGATCTCAACCACTCCATCAAGATGCGATCATTATGAGGACAGTCAGTGGGCCATATGAGTGGAGGAGATTCCAGGCAAAGTGATGGGAAGAGCTATGAAAGTCCAGGGATGAAGTCAAAGGTGACTGTGCCACCCGTTTGCCTAGCTAGGACGGCCCCACCATCCTGCTATCCCAGTGTCACTACTAACTGCATAGTTCCCCCTTTTACTCCCA